GACAACAGGTGCAATCAGGTCGCATGCAGTTTTATCAAAAGTCACGGTTTTCAGGTTTTGAGACCTCATTATTTTGCGTTTTCCTTCGCAAACCTAGATCAAAATGAAAAAAGAAGATCATATTCGAGATCAGCAGATAAAACTGCGTCTAGTGATGTGCTTTAGAACGGAAAATAAAATCCACGAAAACTTCGAATTACTGGCGCCTTATATTTCTTTTCTGTTGTCGTGTATTTGTGTGTGATGTATACATAGAGACGACAAAATGAAATGAGAGAAGAAGTGATGATGAAAGAATGTGTTATTCTCAACTTGTTTTAAAGCTTTTTCATGAACGAGGTGCTGTGAGGTAACTAGTCATTTTGATATTTGTGATATTTCTCTTCATTGATGTTCATGATGCGCACGACTTTTCTATAAGACTGAGTTTGAGATTCTCATAAAATTAGTAGTTTGTTGAACAGTGAAGTAACGTGCCAAAACAAATGCATCTATAAATGAGCAAATTTCACATCACTCAGTTTCACTCGGTTCAGATCACTCCTAAAAAATAACCAAAACCTTTGTTAATGAGGCAGGATTGTAGCTCGCAGATTTCTGATTAAAATGAGACGCCTCCTAGCTCTACATGATCTTTCCTTGCAAAGTTATAGAATTTGCATGAATGTTCATCGTCAGCTCAAAGCTACAGAAATAAGAAGAAATTAATTCAGGGTTTTTCTCGTAAATTGTAAGTTATAACTTTGCAAAGAAAGACCGTGTAGAGCTGGGGGAGGTCTCATTTTAATCAGAAATCTGCGGGCTACAATCCTGCCTCATTAACAAAGGTTTGGGTTATTTTTTAGAAGTTTTGAAAACTGGTTTTCTAGAAATTCGATCTCTGAAGACCTATCGGCCAAAATGATTGTTATATTCGGTAGCATAGTCGATAACCTATAGCCCAACCTAAGCCTATTTAGCCCGAGAGCGAGTTGCACCCAGCGAAGGTTCACTCGTTAGGTTGGAAAAAAATTCGTATAGTAGATAACTAGTCTTTCGATTTTCAAAGGTCCTTTATGGTCCGTTCTACTGCCTCTTCTGATTTCCCTTCTTCAGTTGCAGCATACGATCCCAACCAGGACTGCCGTAAACCACAAGGGAGAATTGAATCATGCCAATGACATCGAAATGGAACAGTCTGGTTATGTCACTGCTGACGGGGCTTTTCGGCCTGCGTGTCGCGGGGCAGGCCATTCAGTTTTGGATGCCGCAGTCTTTTCTTCCGACATTCGATGCGTTTCAGGGCAGCAACCTTCATTACTCCACTCTCCTGCTGATCCAGCTTTTGCTGCTTGGATTGATGTTGAGAACCTGCTGGCGTATAAGTCGTGGAATCACCGTGCCCAATCGCCGCCTGGGACGCGGACTCACATGGTTTGGCGGCATATATATGGCGGGATCCGTTGCCCGCATCATTGTGGGAATCGCGTTCCCCTCCGCTCCAGCCTGGTTCTCCACCTGGATTCCCGCGTTCTTCCATCTCGTCCTGGCGGGATTCGTCCTGACCGTCGCCCACTTTCACATGCACCATTCCCGGCCAGCGGACGGAAAGACCGAACAATGAGCCGCGTGCTCTCCTGCATTTGGTACTCCTCGTTTTTCGCAAAATATTCGTCTTTGAAATATAGTTCTTGGCTTAAACGCGAGACCTTATGAACTGATTTTCTTAATGTGCCAACATGTTTACGGCTCAAGCATTATATCAAAATGTAGGCCTTCTAAGATGTATTTATGCAACTGTGAATGAGGTTTGGAATACTTTTTATTCGGTCAAAAAAAACGTATTTTCGAAATTAAGATATTTTTATCCTATTCGTTTTACTTATTTTATATTTTTGCATGAAACAACTAATATTCATCTTCGATTCACTGACTCTTGACTGGAAAATACCTTGAGCGCGGACTCAAATGGATTGGCGGCATATATATGGCGGGATCCGTTGCCCGCATCACTGTGGGAATCGCATTCCCCTCCGCTCCAGCCTGATTCTCCATCTGGATTCCCGCGTCCTTCTCTTGTAATATGAGCTGGAATAATATTATTTCCTATCCTATAAGATCTTTGAACAGAGCATTTTGTACAAATATCGCTTCTGGTTCCTTCAAGAATTTCCTTTTAATAAACCCAACCATAAGTCAGAAAAAAAATTTAAACATACATCTGGAAAGAGCATGAAATGCTGATTCTAGTAGAGTACTTTTGATCCTCTAGAATCAGTTATAAATAATCTTGGTGTTGAACCTTGAGATACCATTTTCCAGATGCAGTTTTCAACGCTGAATAGGAAAAACATAGTTTCACGGCTTCGAAATGAGGTATAATCAAGTTATTCAGTGTTTAAAAAAAGTTAGTAGTTTTTCAAAAAAAGAAATTCTTCAAGCTTTCCGAATTGTTTTCACTGATAATGTGAACTGGGAAGGCTAAAAGCCAGATATTCTTGATCAGCGTGAAATTCTCTATCGAATGTATGATATACGATTAAGCCAAAAATAAAATAGTACTATAATTTTGAATTTGAAGCACTTTAAAAGATTGTAAAGTCAAAAGACAACCACAGGTATCAACAACAGCAGCATCATATATAATTCAATC